TCCCTCGGTAATTGGAAGTTAAAGGAATAGTATCTTGCCTTTGAATTGTATCATTATTCTTGTCTCAAATAAATTGCCGTGTCATCCTGAATTTTGTCTTTCCTAATTTTCTACATTACAAAATCATCGTATCATCATGATAATATTTAGAGCAGATTGTTGAATTATAACAGATAAATTAGAATATTTATCTTGATTATTTCTAGGCGAAAAGTTATTTCAAAAATTTTATTTGCTAGAAACCTTCCCAGTACTATAGTAAATAACTTCCCAAAGTTTCATGGCGATCCAATGAGTGGTTTGGTCAGGCATAAAAGACAAACAAACAAACAAACAAACAGACACACATACATTCATTTTTATATATATAGATATATTATTTTATATTATAAATTAGTAAAAGGTAATAAGACAAAAGAACGCATTTCAAAACAAAGGAATTGATGATGATAAATGCAAAAAATCTACGATTGTAAAATAGATTAAATTAAAAAATAAAAATAACTGTTAACATTAGGAAAATAAAAACAGAACTATCATACGAAGAAAAAAATAACGAAAATTTTGGTATATAGATCGTTATGTGTAGTTCAGAATCTTCGGAGGAGATAGCTTAGGACTTTACAATGGAAAACTCTGTTACGGTATTATCTATATAGATGTGGTGATTTGAGAGCAGAAAGAGAGAGTCGTGGTAGTTGTGTGGCAAGTGGTAAGGACACACACAGGATCCAGGAGCAAACACCCGTGAGGAGTAGATCGGAGAAGAAAGAGAAGGCTCGAGGACCACCCTGGGAACAACTGGTGTCGAGACCACCTCGGTGGGAACTGTCCTCTGATCATCAAATCCAGGTGTTTTTAAACTCTTTTCGGTAGGATGAATTATTCCCCAGGGGGAAGAGGGGTGAGACAGGGAGTTCCCGGAAATGTTTCTATATAGAAGGCTGGACATATGGTTACCCAGGGGGTTGTTCTGACCAAGCAACCTTCTCTTCCCACTCCTCATACTCCCACACAGGCCATCTTTATTTACATATTTCTAAATATTGTGACAAATTATATTATGATGCATTAGCGCGCCATTCGAAACTATTATAGACGCGTAAGATTCTTTTTGAAATTACACAATATCTACTGCCCTTACTGCAATGGAAAATTTAATGGGAGGGTCTGACTCATCAGTAGATTAAACTGGCGAAACCGCTGGGAGAGTTCACCACTGATGAGCCAGGCCCTCCCATTAATTTTTCCATTCCAGTAAGGGCAGTAGATGTTGTTTAATTTCAAAAAGAATCCTACGCGTCTATAATAGTTTCGAATTTTCATTACGAAAAATATGTACAATGAAAAAAAAAAGAATATCCCAGAATTGTTTATACAAAATTTTAATATAATATTGCATACATTAAAAGTACCTCAAGATAAGTAACTTTATACATTTTTACTCATGTTTGACAAATCGATCTCACGCATTTAAGGTGGTAAAGTCTTAATAACCATAAATTGATATTATAATCATTTTGATAATATTATGGATGGAAACCGGCAGGAGATTGATCTATAAAAATTCACCTCTCCCGTTAAAATAGACGCTACAACTAAGCGCCCTCTATTGACCGTCTCGGAAAATTAGAGGACTCGAGTCGATGACAAAGCCTCAATACCAACTTTGGCAAACTGAGAAGCGTCAACCTGGACACCATTTTGACCATAGATTTTCAGCCAGCTAAACACCTCTTTGGGGGAATTGTAGCGATTTAATTTTATCCCTTAAGAATCTCATTAAAAAATCGAGCCTGTCTTGGTCTGACGATGGCTATTATCCTGACACTATAGAAAATTAGTGTGGTCTGAGAATTTTACCCGCCTTTAAAGAGAATCACTTCGTTTTACGGGGGATTCCTCACTCTTCCAGGGCGCGATGGTCTTGGTTGAGAGCCAATGGTCATCTACACCTGCTGATACCATCAGAACTCCTTAGGCCCCGGTCAACTGAGGTGAACAACGAAGAGCCACAGCCCTGGTATAGACAAGTTTACGACGAGCTGGGTTGACCACGTTGACCAAGGCAAACAACTCCCGATGGAGAAAGAAAACAATGGATCCATTCTTGTTAGTCATGAGAGAAAGAGGCCCTTAAAAGAGGGGGTACATCGGCAGAAAGGACCGCGTCCTGGCTGCAACCACCGAAAGCCCACTGTTCCTCCCCTCTGCGAACAAGCTTCGAGTGCAGAGGCGCACCAAGACTCTCTCTGCGCAAACAAGCGGACTTCAGATCTAAGTCGGCGGCCAGTCACGTCTTTCAGGCTCCCGAAGAGCGATGCCGCCAGCTGCATACCAGAAGATGCGTGGTTCCTTGGTGATTCGCCTGAGAACTTAGTATTGGGTTCGGTAGAAACCCTCGCGGATCTACTGAAACAAACCGACCTCAACGATGTCTCAACCTTCTTCGATACTGCATTGGATCACATAATGGTTGCCACTATCGGAAGCTGGGTCGACGCGCGTCGTCTGGACAGAATCCTACTTCCATCAGGCTTCTGTGACCGAGTCACCCAATACCAAACTAACGACTACGTCTACTCGGACCACCGTGCCGTCCTGATCCAAGTAGGAGACTTAGCTCCTACAAGACTTCCCTGCATAGGCAAGCTGCTACGGTCAGACCTATTTGTCGATCGATGAAATATCGGAAGACCTAAAAAAATCCTTCACTCCCGATGTTATGGGAACAATGGACCAGGATCAAGGCAGATCTAGTCGCGGAGATACAGTCACTCGCTCTTGCCATCGCAAATTCCGGCGGTGGATACATCGAGAGAGCAAGCCGCTTCCTGAGACGGACCCTGGAGAAAGACACTGCCCGTTCTGACTATCCTTCCTTGTCGGACTTCGGGAGTTCCCTTCGAGCCAGACGTCGTTCTCCTCCCACCTTCACCTTCTCTATCGACGCTATCGGTGTTCGACGAGTGGGATCAGCTCTTTCTCGCTGACATCTCCAGCGACCAGATAGGAGCAGCCATCCACTTCCTTCCAAACGGCCATGACTAGGGATGAGACGGATTACCCTGCGAGTTTGTCAAAGCCTTTGAAGATTTCTTCGCCGAAGAAGTTCTTTGGCAAGTCTTCGAGCCTTCTCGACTACGTGAGATTTTGCCTCCATCTTCAAGGCGCAGCAAAGTCATCCTGCTGCCGAAGTCGTACGTTGGTGGAGTCTAAAAGCTTTTCGTCTAATCAGCCTTCCATTGGCCGATTACAAAATTCTCAGCGGCGTTCTTCTGGGCCTTCTGCATCGTCATAACCAGGCCTCGTGCCCAAGTGTCAGACCCACGCCGTTCCAGGACGGTCATTCTCCTGGAACATAGCGTGTCTGATAACGTTTCCTGAGCGTTGAGACATGACACGTTGTCATTTCTCTGGACCTGAAGTCGGCTTTTGACTCTCTGAACAGAAACTATCTATACGGCTTGTTGGAAAGGCAGGGCCTACCATCTGCCTTTCTCGGGATATTTAACAGTGATCCTCACCTAGTTACAGATTCTAGTCAAAGAGGTAATTTCACCACTTTTTATATAGGTAATTATTGATGGAGATTTTTTTTCAAAATTAGAAATGAACATAATAACCATACAATACATATCACGAATTGCCTCACCAATTCGGTGAAATGCATGTACTTAAGACATGTGACGTGAATTAAATTTGTATATATTATTTTTAAATTAGAGAATGGCGTGATCACATAGACAAGGCGTGATCAGTGGCCATCAAACTTACTTCGTTTCATACTTAACTGCACGAGCCAAAGTTGAATGCAGATATTAAAATACAACGAACAAGTCTTTTATTGGGGACCTATGCTCTACACAAGATTCACCCAGATGCATAATTACATAGAAAAGATTAAGTTTGCCTGGAGGAAAATGATCTATAAAATCATAGGGCGCCTCTCCCGTCAAATTAAACGTCAAAACAAGACGCCACCGTCACCGCAAACTAGCAAAATTCAACAAGATCTTCTGAAAGTGCATGAAATTACTGCAAATTGGAAAATTTCAAATATTACTATGATATTTACACGAAGAATAATTACCTATTCAATATTAAGATTTAGAGTCGGGAGCGGATTAAGTAGGGATGTCTGCCACGCTGATGGGCGAAGTGGATGGGGCCCTTCAGAGATCAGGTGTTCTTTTGTTTAATATTGCTATCGAAAAAGGCATTCAAAGAATAACAATCAAGACCTGAAAATTTTCGAATACTTCAAGGCCATAAAACTAGCTTTGGTAAACTGAGAGGCGTCGCTGATCTGAGGCCGCTAGTTGGCGGCGACGGTCAATAGATGGCGTCTTGTTTTGACGTCTAATTTGACGGAGCCTCGCCCTTTTTATTAGAAAAGAGTAGCTATTTACAGATGATCATTCATTTACAATACCATTTACATACGGCTCTCTTTTCTTAATGTTTCTTCTCTTGCACAGTCCTTTAAAACTTGTACAGGGCCAATGTATTGGATTTATCCTTTGTACTATGCAACAGAGCCTCCAGAGCAAGATGATTTGATCCAATTTTATTCAAAAAAGTTTCCTCTTTTCACTTATTAACTTTAAAGAAAAAAATATGTTGCACTAGCGCGCCATCTGTTATCAAAATTCGAAATTATTTTAAAGGGGTAAGATTCTTTTTGAAAATAAACAATTTATACTACCCTTACTGGAATGGAATTTCCATTGCAGTAAGAGCAGTAGAAATTGTTTATTTTCAAAAAAAATCTTACCCCTTTAAAATAATTTCGAATTTTGATAACAGATGGCGCGCTAGTGTAACATATTTTTTTAAGGGCAGTAGAAATTGTTTATTTTCAAAAAGAATCTTACGCCTTTAAAAAAATATGTGATACTCCAGTTCCTAGTCGGTTTTTTTACTACGTAATGTTTCAAAACGTCTCTCGTTGGAAGCTATGAAATATAAACCGCCTCTGTACTGATGTACTAACGACTGCGGTCATACCACATTGGTAACATCGACTCCTGTCCAATCACCGAAGTTAAGCAATCCCAGACCTGGTCAGTACTTGGGAGGGTGACCACCTAGGAACACCGGGTGCTGCTGTAGGATAAAGGTAGGAAACTAATAATAGTCATCATAGTCTGAAATCATTGTATACAGGTTGTTAGCTTTTCCAAAACTGGTTTTGTAGCACATTCTTTCATATCCACTTGTGTTTTATGCACCGAGATTATAAATAAAATACATCATTTTGTTTTTAATAAAACATTTGCTTTTTAATAGCCTTCACAAGAGACTAGACAATTTGCTATAAGACATGTCCTTTATAAAGTAGAGATTTAATGTAATTTTGAAGGGACTCCCGATTTTGTCCGCTATATAGCAAAGGCGGTTATATTGAATGGTTGTCTTATAAACAGAGAAGACTGTATTTACTAACTGATGGACACTAATGGATTAATGTCGTCGGTCGTCTCTGTTTTTTTTTGTTTTGTTTTTTTTAAGGAGACAAAGACATTTTTGTTCACACTTTTGGTTATCTCGTGTGTCTTCAATAAAGGTCACAGTATAATCTTTCAGAGTAATTGTCTCAATCCCGATATACATGCTGAAAGGTACAACTTTCTTAAGTTTTGTCCATGAGTGTAACTTTCAGAGGTATTGTCTGAATCCCGATATACATGCTGAAAGGTACAACTTTCTTAAGTTATGTCCATGAGTGTACATCCCATTGGTTAAAGACAATTGTGAAGGAGGCTTCACATCGTTAAAATAACTTGAGGCACTTTCAGTTTTATTTATAGAGGTTCCAGGGAAAGGTATTTCTGTACGAGAGGCAGCTCACCTATGACTTGGCTTGTGCCGCTCTGGACTATTGTCGTGTTTATGGTCGACATTCTGTCATGAGAAATGTTAACCTCCTTCTTATTGACCAAGTGTCGGCAATCTTTTGAGTCGGAAGAGTCGAAAATTACAATTTACGAAATTTCAATTTTTTAAAACACCAACATATCATTAGAAATCGGTTGACCCTTAGCGCGCATGTCGCGGATTCTCCCTTTCGAAAACAATATCAGTCCATTGTTCTTTAATCCAATATGCACAATAGACAAAAGTAAAGGAAATTGAAAGTCTTTAATGTCGCCTATCGTCTATCTTTTTTTTTAAGGAGACAGAGGCAATTTTGTTCACACTTAGTTATCTGGTGTGTCTTCAATAAAAGTCACTGTTTATCAAATATCTTTCAGAGTTATTGACTGAATACCGATATACATGATAAAAAGGTACAACTTCCTTAGGTTTTGTCTATAAGTGTATTCAGGTAGTTATATATATATTTAGCTAGTGTATTCATGCAAGTTGTGACGATATATTCCTCGCAGTGATCGCTTTCTTATTTAAGATACGTGATAAGTAAAACCATCATCCTCTATTGAAGAACTTCTATCTTTGTACGGATAAACCTGACTTGAAATTTGAGTCAAATTTGTAGAGAAGGCAGGTGTTGTTGGACACAAGTCCGACTGTGGTTTATTGAGCCGAGAGTCCAGCGTCCCGCGCTAGGCCGTAGAAGAAGGAGTTGGGATTCTTCATCAGGACCTCAGGGCGGTCCATCTCTACCACGTGACCGGAGTCCATCACCATCACCCTGGGACACAGTAGTCCGTACAATGATCCTTCTGGCTACACTTAGACAGAACATGGCAATAGCATGCGTACATCCCAAAGTTGTCCTAGCCCGGAACATATGATCAGGAATGGACGGCTGGTGTTCACTTCCATCCTTCCTCTTTTTAAAATTTTCGAAAAGAGCATTTTACAGTTGTTATTGTCGTGTTCAATGAAGAGATGTCTCCGTGCATCTCTATCACAGCAATGTTCTCTATCTTGGGTGTGTAAAGCTGCTGTTCTGGGTCCATGTCAATTTTCTGTTGTTGTTGTCGTGTTCAATGAACAGATGTCTCCGTACATCTCTATCACAGCAATGCTCTCTATCTTGGGTGTGTAAAGCTGCTGTTCTGGGTCCATGTCAATTTTCTATTGCTGTTGTCGTGTTCAATGAACAGATGTCTCCGTGCATCTCTATCACAGCAATGTTCTCTATCTTGGGTGTGTAAAGCTGCTGTTCTGGGTCCATGTCAGTTTTCTGTTGTTGTTGTCGTGTTCAATGAACAGATGTCTCCGTACATCTCTATCACAGCAATGTTCTCTATCTTGGGTGTGTAAAGCTGCTGTTCTGGGTCCATGTCAATTTTCTGTTGTTGTTGTTGTCGTGTCTCCAATGAAGAGCTTCAGATGTCACCGTGCATCTCTATCACAGCAGTCGCAATGTCCTCTATCTTGGGTTTGTAAAGCTGCTGTTCTGGGTCCATGTCAATTTTCTGTTGTTGTTGTTGTCGTGTCTCCAATGAAGAGCTTCAGATGTCACCGTGCATCTCTATCACAGCAGTCGCAATGTTCTCTATCTTGGGTTTGTAAAGCTGCTGTTCTGGGTCTATGTCAATTGTCTGCAAGGCTGCGGCATTGGCAATTTTATAGTAGAAAGGACAAGAGATATTTTAGATTTCCCTTGTTAATGACTATGACACTAAACTTCTTTTCAAAGAAAAAAATTATTTAAAAAAAAACTGTTAATTCCCTCATTTTTATATGTTTACCATGATCATATATCGGTATTGTGTCAAAAATGGCTGGAGCAACTCAAGCCAAACTACCAAAGAACTTATGCAGGAAACCACGGCATTCAAACAGCGTCTAGAAGGATGGTATTCCAAATATCCCGATAGATGTCAGATTCATCGATGAAGTTTGACTGTCAAACCGCCGCTAGTTGCGGCGACGGTCAATAGATGGCGTCTAGTTTTGACGTCTATTTTGGCGGGAGAGGCGACCTTAATTTATTTTTCTTTATGTTTGACAAATAATTTGACAGTCAAACTTCATCGATGAATCTGACATCTATCGGGATATTTGGAATACCATCCTTCTAGACGCTGTTTGAATGCCGTGGTGTCCTGCATAAGTTCTTAGGTAGTTTGGCTTGTGTTGCTCCAGCCATTTTTGACACAATACCGATATATGATCTTGGAGAACATATAAAAATGAGGGAATTAATAGTTTTTTTTTTTAATATTTTTTTTATTTGAAAAGAAGTTTAGTGTCATAGACATTAACAAGGGAAATCTAAAATATCTCTTGTCCTTTCTACTATAAAATTGCCAATGCCGCAGCCTTGCAGAAAATTGACATGGACCCAGAACAGCAGCTTTACAAACCCAAGATAGAGAACATTGCGACTGCTGTGATAGAGATGCATGGTGTCATCTGAAGTTCTTCAATGGAAACAACAGCAGCAACAACAGAAAATTGACATGGACCCTCCCGGCAAAATTTCCATTTATGAAAATAAATAAATTATAAGGCAATAACACGTCATCTATGTATAAGAAATGAAAGCATTAAATCACGAATGTTTCTGTTACACATAAAACAATTTGAAACATTTCAGTTATGTGGGGGAGAAATGTTGATTATTTGTTAAGCCAACTAATCTACCAAGCCTTTCTATTAGACAAATGTGACCGTGTTTGTACATAAAAGAGATTCAATAATTTTTAACGCCAAATGTTGGTGCCTCCTGACGAGGACAATAGATTTTTGTCGAAACGTCGATAAAATAAAAAGATTTACTGGCCAAAGTATCTTAATTTTAAGAATCTTTACGAATTTCACACAACTCTAGATGATTCTAGGCAAATGCTACACGAAAGATTGGAAATAAGATCTAGGCGTGTGACAACCGACCTGTTACAGTCGAGGATGGCGGGCAGACGATGGGAGATGGTCAGTACGGTGCAGTCGGCAAACTGCTGTCGAATGGCTGAACGGATGAGGGCGTCTGTCTCGACATCCACGGAGGCTGTCACCTCGTCAAGCACCAGTATCTGTGTCTTACGGAGCAGGGCACGGGCGAGACACAGTAGCTGCCTCTGGCCCAAGCTGGCAGACACAAGCCTCTCTGTGGTAGATCAGGATGGACAAAAACCTAACTAACATCTTCAATAGAAGTGTATTAAACAATTAAAAATATTTCCAGAGATGAGTTTCTTTTTAAGTTTGTCATCAGGAGGCCTTTTATTCATTGTATATGTTCTCCTGTTGAAGGACACACAGTAAAACACAGTAGATCTCTTATGGGATAACACTTAAAAGCATGGCTAAAATCGGATTCTCCTTGAAACATCTCCATCTCCTTGAAATTAAACAATTTCTACTGCCCTCACTGCAATGGAAAAATTTAATGGGAGGGACTTGCTCATCAGTAGTGAAGCCCAGATTAAACTGGTAAAACCGCTGGGAGGGTTCACCACTGATGAGTCAGGCCCTCCCATAAATTTTCCATTGAAGTAAGGGCAGTATAAATTGTTTAATTTCAAAAAGAATCTTGCGCGTCTAAAATAGTTTCGAATTTTCACTAAGATATCTATAAAACAAATATTAACAAATCAAATGATGACTTAAGTTACGGATGATGATTCACAGATTAGTCACCACAGATTATTCTGTGACAATATTTACGGTACTTGCTTTCTTTCACCCAATTGTCAAACCTAGGTACTCTCTCTCTCCAAAGAGACTCATTTAAAGAAACCGCTTTTAAAGGGATTTTTATCAAAGATTGTAGCGGTTGAAGACTCTAGCTGTCATTGTGGCAACGAATTCCAGGACTCGAGACACCTACTGCTGAAATCCCCACTCCTCTTTACCGCTAGACAACAGACAGTAAATAATGTTGTAGATCTATATCAATTTGTAAATAGCAGAGAGAATTATAATAGCTTTAACTATTTTTGTAAATATTTTTGTGATTATCTTTCTAACCTGAAAGGTTCAGGTTCCTAATATATATTATTGTTTCTCTTTTTTTTTATTACTTTCTTGTATATAACTATTTCTGTTTAAAAAATGCAAATCGACGCAATCATCCCTAGCCGGGATATCGCGTTTTGTGTGTTGAAATAAATAAAAAGAATCCGCTAACCATCCAATCCACAACACCAAATCTCCAAGAGAAACGGCCTCTACAGATCACTTTACAACAGGTAGAG